CGCTCGCTGGCCAACTACTGCTTTGACCTGCGCTTCCAGAGGCCGAAGGTGGAGCAGATCAAGGTACGCGCACACATCCTGTCTCCCAAAACTCCAGGATGCAAAACACAAACTGATTCTGACTCCAGCTGGTTCATGTCGGTGTCAGGTTGTTGGGATTTGATTTGCAGCTGAAAATAGACGAACACTTTTAATATTCATGCCATCTTAAGAAAGTTTAAGATATGCATGACTTGATTTTTAAGGTTATAATAAAACTACTTCCTGTCTGTTATCTTCTTCACCATTGGAATAAATCCGCTCTTTAGTGTGAATGTTTAGTTTCCTCGCTCCTTCACTCTTTTTTTCACTCTTTCTTTTTTTTTCTTCCAGGGCGCTATGATGTCCCTCGCTTTCAAGGAGGGAATCAAGATCCCGCCCCCAGCTCTGAATGAAATCATCTTGGCCTCCAATCAGGATGTCCGACAGGTAAAGACGTTAATACAGAGTGTCACAACACTGAATCATACTCCTGTTTTGTCCTCCCCCGCCTCATGTTTGCTGCCTGTTTTCTGTGCAGGTGATCCACAACCTGAGCATGTGGTCAGCCAGAGACAAGGTGATGACGTACGACCAGTGCAAGTCGGACGCAGCGAGAGCCCGCAAGGACATGAAGATGGGGCCGTTTGACGTCTGTCGGAAGGTGTTTGCCGCGGGGGAGGAGACTGCCCACATGAGCCTCATCGACAAGTCGGATCTCTTCTTTCACGACTACTCGCTCGCTCCGCTCTTCGTCCAAGAGAACTACCTGCACGTTCGGCCCAAAGCTGCCGGGTGAGAGAGGCTAACTGTTTCCACTCTGTGTGCTGAAATAAGATAACTGCCTCCTGCTTCTTGTCTTTATTAACGTAAACACATGAGAGTGGTGTCAAACTTCTTAATCCTCCACAAGAAAACTAATTAAAAAACGGAGATCTTCACAACGGGTTTTTGAATGTTTCTGCTTTTTTTTTTTCCGTCTTTCTTTCCTCTCAGTGGCGATCTGAAGTCTCACCTGGTGTTGCTCAGTAAGACGGCTGACTCCATCTCAGACGGAGACCTGGTGGACAGACGGATCCGCTCTGCGCAGAACTGGTCCCTGTTGCCCACCCAGGTAACAAACCCATACACAACATCACACTTATGAGAAGGTTGAATCGTGCCTGTAGGTTGGGTAATTTTCCACGAGCTATCCAGGAAGTGACTTTTCTCCTTACTCTACCACACGGCTCCTAACAGCCCCAACAACCCACCCATGCAGACAGGAGAGCCAGGAGGACATTTCTTTTTTGTTTAAAAAAAAAATAGACCTAACTTAACTAATAAGAACCTTGTGCATAAACGTGTGTGTTCTTCTGTGTGTGTCCTTGTAGGCCGTCTATGCCAGCGTGCTACCAGGTGAGCTCATGAGAGGCTACATGAGTCAGTTCCCCACCTTCCCCAGCTGGCTCGGCAAGTACTCGTCCACCAGTAAACATTCCCGCATCGTCCAGGAGCTGTCCTCGCACATGGGTCTCAAGTGAGCAAGACGGTCATTGAACTACTTACAAGTTATCAAAACAATAAAAACAACAGCTGACTCATTGGTTTCTTCTTCCGCAGGACGCTGAGCAGCAGACAGGCGGTGAATCTGGACTACCTGCACTACCTGCGGCAGGCGCTGCTGAGCCCACTTCAGAAGAAAGGAGCAGATGGCGCCAGTGAGGCCGTGCAGCTGCTGGACGACTACCAGCTCATCAGAGAGGACGTGGACAGCATCATGGAGATCAGCGTGTGGGGCGGACAAGCTGATCCCTACTCCAAACTGGACCCCAAGGTGAGCAGGAGGCGGAGACGGGGCGAGGTTTGGGTTAGCAGGCTTTTCTCACAGATTTTTGTGTTTGCCCAACTTTAGCGATAAATGTTCCCTCTCTTGTCTGATTGTTCCCTCCCAGGTGAAAGCAGCATTCACACGAGCCTACAACAAAGAGGTCCACCTCACACCGTACTCCCTGCAAGTAGTGAAGAAAGGTCGTGGTGGTGGTGGCGGCGGCGGCGGGGGGAGAGTCAGAGTTTGGAGGAGACAACGGGGACAACGAGGTGCAGGAGTCTGAGGACGAGGGGGAGGGCGTCAAACTGGACGCCATGATCAAAGTAAGAGAATTTAAAGAGGGATAACTGAAGTTTTTAGACAACAATGTTTAAGGCTGTCTTTTCATGATTGTCTTTTTAAACCTTCCTGCAGCAGAAGAAGGCTAAAGCTACCAAGGTGACAAAGAAGGAGACGAAAAATGATGATTCTGGGAAGGGCAAAGGCAAGGGGAAAGGCAAGGCAAAGAAATAACAAGACGACCAGAGGAGGAAAGCTAACTGTCCCTGTCTGCCTTCTTCTACCCTCACAGACTGTCTTTTTTTTTTTTTTTTTCTTTCTCTGTGCTTACAACGATCCTTTAGCGAGCGTCACAGATGAGTGAGTCTGGTCTAAAATACTGCAGGTAACTGATCCAAGCACTTAAACCTCCACAAACTGCTGAGAAACGTCTTTTGAAACCTCCGGTCATGTTTCCATCGGAGCGTCTCTAGACTGAACAAATGATTCATACTATCTGCTTTGTGACCTCCACTATCATGTCCACACACTCCTGCAGTAACACCAGTCTCCACAGGAATGACCTGCGTTTGTTCCATCATCAGATTGTAAATAATGGGACTGATGTCAAAGACTGTTACCTTTTTGCTACAACGACTACACAGAAATGCTTTAGATCTCTATCGGTTAGCACTGATGTTCCTGTATATTGCAATTTTGTATAAATGGTCATGAGGAGTAAACGAACGTGTTTGGCTCATGAGTTTCTTTGATTTTTGAGCCTCTGTGACCTTCATAAATGAGACCCCTGATCTTAACCAGCACACTCACACTCACCACACTGGAGATGCCTCAAAGTGTTCAAATACAAAACTCTCTGACCCCCTCAGAAAAGTCCTGCACATCCTTCAGTGGAAGTGAGTGCCCCCCCAAAAAAAAGGCAAACAGAAGGAAAAAATATGAATGTGGAAATGTTAGAGTAACCTGAAGGTACTTGAACAGTACAGGAGATTAAACAAGACAAGGAATCCTGAAACAAGTGTTAACTTAGATGGTTAATTAAAAAAAGATTCAGTCTCTTTTTAGAGCTGAACAGAAATGTGAGCACAATAAACTCAGTGAACGTTGTGTAAAGTGTCGAGGGCCACTTACAGTCTGGGAAAACAGAAATATTTAAAAGATGAACGACAGAAAGAGGACAAAGGAAACTTCAGGTAACTATTCATTCAAGCATTTGTACATATTCTCATGTCCGGTTTGACTTTTCACAGACAGATGATCCAGAGTACAGAAGTGTCTGTACTCGTTTAAAGCTTCAACCGTTCTCACTATATTATAAAAGATGACATAAGAAACCTGAGCAAACAGCTAAATATACAAAGCTTTATTTGATTCTTTCTGAAAAGTATTTCATATTCAGTTCATTCTTTTATTTTCACATTAAAAAACTAAATTCTGCGCACATTTCATCCTGAATATAGATCTGAAGTCTGCAAACAAATCTTTTATTTGAAGATGAATATAAATGATATTGTTTAGTTTGGTTTTATTCACTGATCCACTTCTTCAGCCTGCAGGTAACTGGAACAATCTGAGATCTTCCTCAGCTGTTTGGCACTCAGAGTCTCGGAGCACATGGGACACACCGACTCGGTTTCCAACAACCTGCACACACAAACAGTTCAGTGAAGACTCGTGACAGAGTGTGAGGGCGCTTCAAGGGATACACTTATTCACTCTCTAGTGGGAGAGTCAGATGAGGAGACATTTAGCTTAGCACAAAGATTCTTTGAAATGAACATGTTACAAAAAACAAAAACATGTGTGTTCTTAGTGTAATCAGGGCGCTGTCAACTATTTGTTGGTACAGTATTTAAACACATTGTCATACAGAACGTCAGCTGTTTGCATCTGTGTGTGCAGTATGTGTGTGTGCAGTATGTCATGAAAGCGTGACAGTCTTATAAACTTTACAAATTCTGAATTTCAGATACATTTTGAACATTTGTGAATTTATCTGTTAAATAAAACCATACTAACAACAAACATGAGTTCAACGTGACCATCCCTCAAGAAACAAAAACTATGTTTGGGACACCTTCCTTTATCACAGGGAGCCTCTTAAAGTAACGACCTCTGTGTCCCGTAGACGGACTTCTTCAACATCACTGCTGGGTATTAAATCCTCTCTGAAGCTGAGCCGTTAAGATATACAAGATAAATATCCCAAACATCAAACTTATGAAGGGTAAAAGTAATCTTAACCTGCAAATACTAAGGTCTACTTTATATTCAGAAACTGCTGTTGAGTAGACCGTCATCTAGATGATCCTTTTATAAAGTTAAAGTCTTAAGTCAAGATTTGTCAGATTTCTGTTGTGATTCTCAAACATGATGACTCTGCTGCTGTGGATCTAAAAGTAAATGATTAGGAATATGTGATCAGTTCATGTAACTATCTGAAAAGTGGAGGTGCTGAAGGTTTGGTTTATTAGTAAAGTTGACTTACAGAATGAACTGTGAGTAGAGAGCAGGAAATTCACAGTGTGGACACACACACCAGTCCTCCTTCAGCATATGACGACCCTGAAAAAGACAGATGATGACAATGTGGTCCGAGAAGAAGGTGAACCTTTTAAACTTCTGTTTAAAAGGGAAAAACAGCACATGAGTTTATGACTGGGTTAGTGAATGTGTGAGCTTGTACCGTGGCGATGCAGTACGGCAGGTTGTTCTTGCAGGAGATACACAGCAGCTCGTTCTGTGGCAGCTGGAAGCCACAGAAAGGACACGGGGTAGTTTCCTCTTCCAGCTCGGAAGTATCCGGACGTCTGTGGTGCAGTGGACGAGAAAATGAGATTTAAAGGAAGATTAAAGGTAGAGCAAGAGATCAGTAAAAAGGAAGGAGGTGATATATTGGAGGAGGTGAAGTACACGTGTTGTAGAGGGAGTTGAAAGTCTTTCAGCATGAGGTAAAGAAAAGTGATGAGCATTCCTCTCACCGAACCATCGCCTCGATCTTCTTCCTGTACTTTGGGTCGATGTCGTTTCTGTACTCTGGTCTCATCAGCATGGCGGCAAAGCTGAAGGCTGAGTTCTTCAGGCCGGCACGATGACATTCGATGACTGTGGACGTCAGAATGGGAACAACATCTACACACACACACAAAATCAAAGGTCAAAAGTATTCAGATTTCAGCTACATAAAAACAACATCAAAAATATGCTTTTAAGTGTAAAAAGGTTTATTCTGTGTGAACTCACGTGCAGGAAATTTGCTGATATTGTTGCTGACACGAATGAGCATGCGCGCTCCTTTCAGGTGATCTACCCGCTTCACATGGACCTACAGAGAAGGACACGTCATGTACCGAGTCACATACACACTACATCCAGTTTATCTTCAGGCCTCATTATAAACATATACATACAAATATGATCAGGTCTCAGATGAATATATTTGAGGAGTTTTCTGTTGCTGTTTGTCCAAACGAGGCCTTTGTTCTTGATCATAACAAACTCATGTGAACACAACGTTACATCAGATGTTTTCATAAAGCGTTCGATTGTGGATTCCATCTCTGACTTTTTTAATGATGACCTCAGCCTTTTATATGTTGGTTCTCTAAACTGAGTGGAAAATGAGCACATGTTTGTGTAAGCCTCCTTCTTCATCAGTGTGGTTGAAAAGATTTTGGGGAAAACAAACACCTTCAAAGCATTTCAAGAGGGTTTCCAAATAGCTGTGAGTGGGGGAGGAGTTGGGTAATATCTGGACAACATGTCATGACAAAGATTTTCCACCCTCTCCTCAGCTTAATAGCTGTCATCTCTACAGAAAGCACTGGGTTAGAGTATCAAATACTCCTCATTTCCTGGACATTATTCACACACATGTCTGTGCATTAATTCATTTGAGCTGTTCTCACCTTGGCCAGCAGGTAGGAGTGCAGGATCATCAGGTTTGTTGCCATCTCAGCTGGGATTTTAATCTTCTGGGACTGCAGCTCCGTGTACATGCTGAAGAGCACGTCATGGGCGTTACGGTAGTTCCCTGTGGGAGCAACAAGAAATAAACAAACGGAAATAGTGTGGAAAGCTACTGCGGCTTTATTTTTTTTAAAGGTATTTTTGTACCTGTACTCTGCTCTTCTCTGGCGATGATGATGGCGGTGCGTGCGGCCTCCCTGTACTGCTGCAGCGCCATGTACAGACGGAACAGGTACTTTGCATCCTGAGGAGAAGAAAGAGAGGTCAATGTGACATTAGATCGTTTAAGGGCACAGCTAAATACAAAATGAGGGTCTTAGATTTTATGAAGCTAAACACGATCCTTTGAACAATATGGGTAAGAAGAGATATGTTTTTTTTTATTGGTTTGTGGTGTTCTTCTCTGTTGACAGGTGGACTGTGGCTTGTTTCTTTTTATCTTACTCTACAGTAAAGGCAGCTTAATTTGTGCAGCACTGGAGTTCAAGACTAAGTTCCCCAAGAGGTCAATAAAGTGTAGTATCACATCACAGCGCTTCGCATTGTTCAGTATCCTGGAATTTAAAAATCCATCGTGTAAGATTTATTTTCAGAGTTGAATTCTCATTCAGTAAGATCTTAACACTAAAGGTAATCTGTTCCTTAAGAAGTATGTAGGTGTAAGCATCTAGAGGAGGTCAGCAGGAGCAAAACAGTTACAATTTGAACCATGTGTGTGCCAAACACAAACTCTTTGAAAAGTGGGAGGAGCAACTGAGAAGAAAAAATCAATAGAACATGAGTTTAAAAACTGTAAATATGAAATAACATCCTGTAACCTGGAAATTCAAAGCACAAAGAGACAGACATACATGACAGTGATTGATTACCTTGGGCATGCCGTCACTCTCTCCCATCAGGTAATCTATCAGCTGATTGGTCAGAGAGAGGTCCTTTGCCTGACCCACCTGAAACACACACACATCCAAAATAACACAAATGAATTGTCACATGATATGATATAAAGCAGTAGGATACAGGGTTTTCACCAGTGCAGAATTTTAATTTTGATATGATACTAGTTAAAATGAAAATACTGATACCTGTCCGGGGCTCCCAATATTCAATTTCTTGTTTATAATGACCAAAAACATGCGAGCAAACTGTCTTAATTGCACAAATATATTGTCCCCTTCTCTGCTGTCTGTCTGCTTGTATGAGACTTAATAGAACTTTAACCCCAAAACGACTGAAGACATCATCATTTTCCAACCTGTGAATTAGAATGAAAAGCACAGCTGCTCTCCGTTCTGTCCTTAGCCTGTCTACTAATCACCCAATCATGAGAAAAAGTCCATCCTCTCCGTCTTCTGCCTGCTCCACTTTTCAGAAAATGTGTGCTCAAACAGGCTGTTTGAAGATTTTCCCTTCATGACATCACAAAGGGCAGTAACCCCTCCCCCAGGTGGGTGACACTCCCACAGCTAGGTGTTTGTTCTGCCCTCTGAGTCTGCCTTCTCACCGTAAACAACAGGACATGGAGCGAGAAAGCCCGAGACACCCGAGTCCTTCCAGAGAGGGGGCGTGGTCAGAAAATATTTGACTGAAGGTCTGTCGTTTTCTTTGAAAGCTTCTGTACTTTTGATCATTGAATTAACAGAGACTGTATTGTTGTATTAAAGTATCAGACATTTTGACACTCTTAGTGGGATATTTAGTTTGATACTATCGCTCTCACCGTCTCTATGGCCATCTCCACCGCCAGGTTGTCCTCAATGCTGGGACACTTGAGGAAGTGCTTCAGCGCCTGAGACACGGTGAACAGAGAGAAGAAGAAAAAACATACATACAGTGAGTCATTAAGTGTAACAGCATATGTAAACATTAAAAAAAGGTTTAATTCAGAAGAGTACTTACTCGGCTGTACTGCCCACACTTCTGAAAGAACTTGCCCGCCTGCAG